TCTACTAACGCTAATCACTACTTCTGCACTATCACTTTATTTGTCACTATTTGTGGCAAATAAAAATATAATCAATTTTGAATACTTACATTTATTGATCTGTCGAAATAATTCCATAACTAAACGTGTGTTAAACTGTTAGGCGATGTGGACATTTTTCATTCGCTTATTAATATTTTGAAAACTCAATATATTAGAGAATCTTCCTCTCTAATTTTATCTACCTTCTAATTTTTTTGTTTGCAAAAACTTCTTTGTAGATCTAAAGTCCTGCAGCATCTAACATCTTGCTGAAAAAAGGAAAGGTCCATACTTTCGTTCTATACGATCCATACTTTGTTGTGAAGAACATTTTCGCTTAATTTTTCTCTACACAGTACATCCTCTTCTTCTCAATCTTTACATAATTTTCCTTGTTTTATTACTTATCGCTCTTACTGAAGGGAACCCACCTTCAGCGCTTTGTTGTTTTATTTCAGAAGCTTCATCATAATGGTCTCCACAGTTTAATACATCATGAATACGTCATTAAATCGTTTTCTTCATCTTCTTTAATATCTTTCATCAATTTTATATCATTGGCTAAAGCTGCTGTTAGTCTAGCAAAAAGATGGTGTCTAAATCGTCTCTCATTGTAAAGAAAAAGTATCAAAGAAAAATACAGAATATGTATTTTCTTGTACTATCGTGTTACATTTTCAACAGTCACTATTAAAATATTCAAAAATTAAATGTTAATTAATCTCCAAGAACCTCAAAATTTATAGTCTCTTAGTACACCAAAAGAACCTAAAATTCATATTCGGTCTTATATGTATACTCAATGCAAAAAATAATGAGTTCGGCAGTTATTTGAATATATTCTGTTGGATGTTTTATCAATTTCTTCAGTTTTTTGTTACTAATAAGCGGCATAAGCCTTTTGATAATTTAAAATAACAGTTTGAGTAAAAAAACTTCCAACAGAAGTTGCCAACATATAAATTGAAAATAGGTCTGACACGACTTATGAGTCACGAATATGATATGTACATCAAAATATTAATATGATTATCCTTACGTAGATGTTATCGTCACGATTTTTTTGTAGACCTAAAGCCTATAAAATTGTAGGAGGACACCTGAATCGGTAGCTATATTAGATGTGTATACGGTGAAAATCAAAAAAGGTCTGGCCAGATCTATGCGCCCAACGGAAGGTTAAATATATATAAAAAAGCCACATAATCCAGTAGGTGTGATATGCATATTTTAATCAATTTTACTTAAATAGAAGAAGAATAAAATCTTTTTTTTTAAATTTATTGGCGAATATTTAGGACTTTTAAGGTAATATTAATAAGCAACTCAAACCACGTCGTAATTTTCTTCTTTTGGTTATTGTTGTAAAAAATTATGGAAGGAAAGTGAAAAATATTATATTGCCTTGTTAATATTATATTTATATATCCATAAAAACTGAAAATAAAAAATTAGGTAATTAACTAACTAACGTGTCATTATATTTAAAGTAATTTAATTTTTATATGTTCAGTACTTTAATATTTGTATTTAATATATATGTATAAATATATTCCTAAATATATTATTTAGTGTTAAATAATAAATACAAAAAACTAATAGAAAAAGTACTATCTGTTTTATTTATGTTCCTGACATTTGTATTTACGTACCTATGTATATTTCTAATATATATATATACATATAATATATAACAACAATAAATAATATAATATTTAAGCTGCGATAAAATATAGCAATTATTCATTTTAAAGAGTAGCTTTCTAAAAATAATCTTAACAATAAATACTCCCCAAAAGCATTTGTCCAGTGGTTCGTGATAACATTTCGGAAAAGCATTAAAATCAATGAAGCATTTTCACTAAAGATTGCTGTACCGGCTAAGTACCTTGCTTTGTATTTTTACCGCATTATGTTTTATACACCCACAAAAAAAAAAAAAAATTCCTTAAAATAAGCTAAGTGCATACTTAGAAACTAAAAGCTGAGTTCTTGTATTCTGTGAGTAGTCAAAGGAATTAATGATGATGCAAATGTTCTTCTTTTCCTTTTTCAATAAAAATTAAGTAAATTGAAATTATATATTTCTTATTTCACAGCTCATATTATTTTATGTATACTAAAAAATAATTATATCTTATTTTAATATTATGTTAATGCAATATAATAAAAAAACTATATAAGAAGATAAAGTTGTCAACAAATTCGGACCCACAGTCGCTCCCACTCAAATAAATTTTAATGATGATTTTTTATGATTGACTTTGAAACGCCTCATTTAGCTAAATTTTCATTGAACAATAAATAGCCTTCTAATTTTAAGTATTATTTATTAATTTGTTTAAATGAAGTGCTGAAATTTTGATTCATTTTCTTTTCAGTGAGTTTTGCCTCATCGGCAATGAAGTGAAAAGTAGCTGCATTTATCTTTATTTTTATGAAAAATCTATCAGGCACTTGTGAATTTATATACATGCACTTCTTCGGTTTAATGCAAGTTAGCAAGTCAGCAAGTCAGCAAGAGGCAAGTTGCTTAGAGTTTGGATTGTGGTTAATTCCCCACACAGATTTTGTTGTAGCGAACTGGCTTTAATAATAAAAACTCATAAATAAAAATTAAATTAAAGTTGAAAAGGTGAAATGAAATATAGATGTAGATATTGTAAACTAATAATATGACAGGAAAATGCTACCTTCTCGATTAACTGTAAGAAAGGCATTCATCAAAAATTGTTCACAAAGACTATCTATGGTATTTTGAAAGAAAATCGTACCGGAGTGGAAGGATTCATTTCAAATATTTACTAAGAAGTAACCGTTGTTTATTTACATATACATAATGGAAATAATTAATTATAGTTTAAATTTAAAGAGAGATAAAGACAACAATTGTATTTTAACATCATCCGTCATCAGTTAAAAGATAAATAAATGATAATAATTCTAGCATAGTTAAAGCCTAGTGTGGGGCAGGGATAAGCCTCCAGCCACAAAAGAGTAAAAGTGCGCAATAGCATTAACTCAATCTACAGAAACAACAACAAAACCTTATATGAAATGATATTAAAAACCGTCCTTCAAATGTTAAATATTACTGAATTTCTTAATAAGAAAGCTTTTATATATATTTGCCTTTTCTACAAAACGAATTCTATTTCCATTCTATATCACTTAAACCACTGAGTACATCAATCAGCTTAGACTTATACATCAAGACTTTATGTATATATCTATATCGAACCACTTTTTAGTACGTGGCAAAATTGTTATGTTGAGGAAATTTAACCGGTGATTTAGAGGTTGTATTCCCTTCATAAACTTTAGTTCTTGATACAAAGATGTGTTTTATTATGATACGATGCTTGTATTATACCATTTATTTAAGCTATAATAAAAAAATTCAATTTAATGAATAGTTCGTTACTTTAAATTTTATTTATTAATTTATTTTTATTTTTTATTATTTATATTTATTTAAATATATTTATTTATATTTATTTAAATATTTACACTGCCTGGGTAAAATAATTTTGTCAAAAATATCAAAACAGTATTTTTTGGTTATTGCTATTAGAGATTATTGCGTTAGCGTGTACAAATTGCTTGTTTTTGTCATGTTTTTTTCACTGCAAAGATGTTAATTATGATATGTATTTACTGACCTTATATAGTCTTTTTGCAATAAATCTATGAAAAGTGTTTGCACGTTCAAACATGTAAAACTCTAGATTTCTGTTTTATAAGCTTGGTTTGCTTTTCTTATCAACTCTAGTATATTTCATGCTATAGAATTTTGCTTCGATCATGCATCATTTTCCTAAAATCGACCTTTGAAGCGAATATTTTACTCCTTTTTTAAGACATTTTTTAGCTATTACTTATATTTTCATTATTATAATATAATTTTAATGTATATAACACTTGATCTCATTGCATATTAATTATTTCTTTAAGTAACTAAAGTCTGGGCCCAAGTCAATGACCCATGGCAGACTTGGGTAAGAGTCATTCTTCTTGATTTCTTACATGTTTCCACGACTCCAATTATGCAAAGTTACATTATTAATAAACTCAATTACATATTTTTCATATCAAAATATAAGAAAATGATAATTAACCGACTTTAAAACATATTTGGGTCTAACAAATTCTACATCATAGCTTCAGTTCTTCTAAGAAATTCATTACAATTCATAAGCACTGCATCTACACTGCATCTAAACAGAGACATTGCACCTAAAATTTATGGGTTCGTTGAAAAGAAACAGATTTCTTACTTATTTTGCTTGATTTTTGTTGCACTGCGGTGTGCAGGTCAAGCAGAGGCAAGTGCAACCAACCCACAACTCAACTTAGCGTTTGTAGAAAAACAGTAAAAGTCACCATAAAACTAATGATCATTCAATATAAAGTAAATAAAATAAGCAGCAAGCAAAAGCAGCACCGCAAAACAAGCAAAAAAGCATAACCAAAACAAAAAAACTGTATGGCCAATGTCAGTAACATTGACATTAACAGCCACTGTTAGTGTTGCTGTAAAAATGCTTCAACGGCTTTGTCTTTACGCCAGCTTTTACATTAAGCACGGCTTCAATAGAAAGAAAGAAAAACATTGTATGGCAAGCAACAGACAAAAGTGAAGCTAACAGCAGCTGCAAAGTAGCAAGAAGAAGAAGCACGTAATTTGTTTACATTTGAATGGATTGTCTATAAAAGAATGAAGCTTTTGTTGCGCCATTGTCAGTTTGATTTTCCTATTCTAAGCAGCCACATCGTCATAACAGAAGTGCATACATTATGAATAGTTGAGTGCGGCTTAAAGGATATATGTGTTTTATTTGATATAAACAAGTGATTTCAAACATAAATAAATTTCAAAATAAATTTCTATTTAAAAAAAAAAACTAAAGATAAACCAGCTAAGTGTTTGAGAGTGCAAAGTTTAAAAACTGTCCAAACAAAACTTGAAACTGTTCACAATGTTTCATACCAAAATAAAAAATCGTGTAATAATTTTTTATTGCATTTACACAATATCCTTGAGTTTACTTAGTACATGTAGTGCTGCAACTGAAAATCTAACAAATTCAAATTATGCAACATTAACCCACCACAATGGCTTACCAACTGCACCAGCTACAGCATCAGTAACTACATCAACATCAACGACTAGTGGATCGTCATATCAAAGTGCGGGTACACGCACCGCTCTTCGTATTTATGATGAATGTGCACGTTCTGAAGGCGGTTTTGTGCCATGCTTCAAAAAGAAAGCGATCTCCTTCATAGATCGTATATCACACATTGATGCCATAACCGTTGCAGATGGCGTAAAAGTCGTACGGCTTTCACGTAATGACATCACACCTCTTCACACCGCTTTTAGTGAAAATGAATTGGAATCAAATCTTCCACGCTCGTTGGAGGATCGTGACAGTAAATTAACACATATGCTGATTGAACGTCTGAGTAACTTTTTCAATGCACACTCCTTGCAAGTGAGTTTTCCTAAGTTAACTTCGGAGGAAATTGGACGCGGTTTAGAAGAAGGTAAGCTGAAGGCATTATTTTTATGCTATATTAATGTAGAAGAATAGTTGATTATATATTTTTTTTTTAAATTACTCTTTTAGAGTAAAATTTTATATTTAACAGCTAATAACCATGTGTAGTAAATAGAAAAATGAGTTTCAAATGCTAGTGTATACTTTTAGAAAGACAACTGATTAGAAATTTTAAAATTTGATTAACGAAAGGAAAATTGCTGAAATTGACAACGCTTATTATCCGTTTTTATAAAAAAGTTAATTTATGTTTGATTGTTTATAATTTATTCTCTATTTTATGACTAGCACTAAACAACTAACGTAATAATAACGTTGTTAATAATTACGTTAATGTCTTAAATATTATTATTATTTCTGTTATTACTACGTAGAGAATACCGACTTTGTGATTAATTGAACTAATCCTCGTTGCTTTATGAGATCATTAAGCATTTAATATTTTGGCGTTTTAAGTTTTGTTTCACATGCTCCAAGTCGAAACCAGTCCTTTCCCAAGACGAATAAGTCTGCTGCAGAGCTCTAAGAAGCAATGTGGTTTAATATCAAGTTTACAAAAAATACAAATACTGGTCTCTGAAATGTACATTTAGTAAAATTGTACCTCAGTCAGTAGTGCCCTCTTTGAAACCCGTAAATAGTTTTGATATTCTTTTTACTTCGTCGAAGAAAGTTAGTGCCTGTATTGGATAGGTTAATTTTTACCCTGAGTTTAGTCTTAACAGTTTCGAAAACCAAGTATCTTAATCTTTTTACTGTTTGTACCCTCACTAGATTACAAAATGACTCAGGTCCAACTTGGTAGATTGGACCTAACTTGACGTTAGGTTCTTCGTTTGGAGATATAATTAGCTAATTTATTAAATTTTTCTCAGGATTGACTACAAAACAAGCGGTTGCTTTATCTTATTAATAACTTAATGCTACTTACTAATGCTTATTTTCTGCAATAGTATTATATATGATCAGGAAAAATCAATTCAAATTATGCAAAAATATCAACAAATATGCAAGGTTAATTCGAATAGTGTATATTTATTTATATATTTCACTAGATTTATAACTCTATTGCTATGGAAACCTTGTTCTGTGTTGGAAGTATATATTACTCTCATTAGGTCAGCATCGCTTTTATATGAAATTATTGGAGATTAAATATTATAGAGTTTAAAAACTAACTTTTTACTTTTATATACTAATCTTAAATCAATTAAATAAACAGCATCACGAATTACTTTTAACTTAGAAACCATAATCATTAAACAATAATTTTCTTCACAATAAAATGTCAGTAATAAAACCATCTCTCAGGACATTAAAAGGGACTTATTATTGTTTTTTCTTCATTAAAATTCTATAAAATTACTATTATAATTTGCAATTTTTTATATTGTTTTAATTATGCTGAAACAATTAATTTTAAAAGTTGATATTAAAATCAACAGTAAAAATAAAATTTTTTAAAGCATATAAGCATATAATTAATTAATTTTTTATTTAAATGCAACAAATTTTATTTCTATCGAAGCACAACAGACAGTTACCGTCATTAAATAAATTTATTGCAACTGAAAATCTGAAGCTGCGCCATTTAACAGTGAGTTCAACTTAACAGCGCCGTTTACATTAATAAAAATCATGGTCGCACACAGCGCACAGTAATTGCAGCTGAAGACTTCATTTACATACATAAATGAATTACTTTCTTGTACAAGAGTTAATATATTTTATATATTTTATATATATATTTAACATTTTAATTATTGCTGTACAAAATGCAAGTAATTGAAGTATTATTAAATGCACTTAACAGTTAATTATGTTGAGTACTTATAATGAACTTAAAATAAATGATTCAACTTTTAATAAATGGTCCAGTTTATATTTATATAAATATTTCATACGAAAAATTGAACTTCCAGAAGTTATCTGCATATATGATCTTGAATAATATGCAGTAGAAATATATATATTTTTATAATTAAATGTTAAAGTATGCTTTCATACATATTATTTGATGTAATTTCCCTCAACTGTTGCTTCTCATCACTCTCTAATATTACCAATATCCGCTCAATCTCTGATTAGTCACACTCACGATGCCTGCTGCCTCCCAATATTACCATTTTCTTCAGCTTTGATTCGCAAAACCATCTATATGAGTTGTTATTTGTTATCCTTTAGAATATGAAAGTGTGATATCTTTCAGCAATTCATTCTAGTAATTCATTCAAGCGAGGTAGCGATTCCCAATAAATTAAGTGGTATACATATCATATTCCTACATCATCCAAAAATCTTAATTTCTGCATTTTACGTGGTTAGGGAAAATTGAAAATAAAGGCGTACGCATTGTTTATAGATACATACTTACGTATATGCAGCAATATTTTTATTAGAATGAAAAAAAGATATTCTGTATTTGAATGTATAAATGCAAATGACATTAACCCAGTTGATTAAGATTTTGATTCTATTAATATCTAGTTAAGCGCTGAGAAGGATTCAGAATCATAAATTGTCTCAGCGGCTTTTTTTAAAAAAACATTGGTATTGAGTAGGAATCTGATTTTTCCTTCAGTAAATAGAATAATTACATATCAGTAAGTCATTCTGCAAAATAACAGAATGCGTTGCATTATTGGGTTATCATTATCTCAGTTTAATTTCTTTAATAAATAGAACAGTCTTCCAGGTATCCGTGAAAATGGCACTTCTGAAAATTTATCCTAATCATAATAGTTTGCAATTGCATCACCTAGCTCCTCATTTGTGAATGTCTAATAATTTTCGTTTATGTAATCATAAATGTAACTTTCTTTTATACCCTAATATACCAATATTTTCGTTTATTTCCTTCAAATCTTCGTTAGTATTAAAAAGACTCTCAAATTTACAAACGAATTTGGAATTGTCGAAAGAAAATTCATTCAAATTCAATATTTCTGCCATATCCGCGGCTCTATTATCCACAGTTTTAGTTATCCGTGGTTTCAGCTATCCTCGACGCACAATCTATTATCTGTAGGTTTAATTATTCGCGGTTTTATTTATCATCGGCGTTGAACTTCTAAGTTTTAAAAAAGTAGTACTTATCCTAAAAACGACACTTATAATTTTATTATTGTGTTTCGACAAGTACTACTCTTTTAAAACTTAGATATTCGGCGCAGAGGATATACAAATCGCGGATAATTAAAACTGCGGATAATAGAGCCGCGGAAATGGCAGAAATATTGTATATGAATTCTTTACATTATTTTCTTTATAATTTCTAATATTTATTTTGTCTTACTAATCTAGAAAAATTATTGAAAGCGAAGTCTCGTATTATAAACTAACAGCTATAATTGATAATATGAGTGTATGTGACATATTTTTAACTAATTTATATTTTACACTGTTTATGTGTAATTAAAAAATTATTTTATTTCTATTACTTTGTGAAAACAAAAACACTCTAGAACATATTTTAAATTGCTTAGAAAATTCCACTGCAAGTGTGTAACTGGCACATTTCTATCGTAGTCTTGCAATGGAAAATGCATATCATCGTTCAGCAATGAAGCCGGAACAGAGCCAACTCGGAAATTATCGCATGAGACACAATTTATTTAATTTCTGTTTGCGCAAACTTAGCAGTTAAACAATGCCATTAAAAATACAAGATAATTGCTACTTTTATTATTTTTACTTGCACAGAATCAAACTTTTATTACTATTTCCGTACTGACAAAGTGGATACACAATATCTTTTTTTTCGCTCGAGACTTGTCACACGCAGCGCTCCAAAACTGAGGAACTTTTCGTTTCGAATGCGGTTAGTTTGGTTTCTCGGTAGGCAAGGAAATATGGGTTTGGCGGTTGGAAACGCTGGGCCACAATTGCCATGTGCCAATTATTCAAAGAAAGTTCATTTCTGACTGAAATGTGAGTAATTTTATTGTTGACGATGAGCGCACTCTTATTTCATTTTTCCGCCATCACGTGACTACGAAAAAACACACTTTATATGAATTATAAACAAAAGTGTTTTTTTCTACATAATTATAATAATAATTATAATAATATAAACAAATGTTGGGAAAATTTAAGTGTATGTCTGTCTGTCTGTCGACCAAGATTGCTAGCGAGGGAATTTGAATTTCTTTCACAGTGCTAAGTATTGACTGGTTCTAGTTCTAGCCACAACCGAGAAGTGACATAGAAATTTTCAAGGGAATTTGTATAAACTAGTTTTCATTTAAATTTAACAAAACTTTCTTAATTTAACATGACATTTCATTTAAAAAAAGTTTTTTCATAAACTCTCTTAAAGCTAACATTTTATTTCCAAAAAAAACGTTTTGAAAAGAACTATTTTTATTAATTTTTTTCGAAGAAAATACTTTAAATTTAAATTGAGAATAATTTATTCATAATTAGTCTTTTTGGTTTCAATAAAAGTTGTACTTAAAGGAAGTAATAAACACGGTTATGGACTTCTCACGGTGGCTTACATATACATGCATTTGTATATATGTAAGTATATACTTGTGTACGTATTTTTTCATTACTATTATTATTCTTCAATTTAAATGACTACATATTCTATTGTGTTATTTATATTATTCCTAATAAAAATCTTTCACATATATATTATTGATCTTTCTGTATTCTTGGATGAACTCAACTATTTTTAAATTTATCCTAACATTTGATATCCTAACATCATAAACATACATGCTTATGCCAAAACATCTGCTTCTTTCGGTACTTTTGGCTTCACAGATCATAGTATTTTATTAAGAATGCAATATTGCAATATACAATATCGGTATATTTACTCCTATCTAACTCACTGTATATCATATCCATTTATTAAGCAATTGTTGCATTTACTTTAGCCATATTCTTCGTTTTATATCACATTTTATTCCTTTTTTTATATCACATTTAATTTATATCTCATCTATGTCGTTCACTTGGTCCTCTTCAACAAGCCCG